ATTCAATCATCATTCGTCGCGGCTTGCCTCAGAGGAATTAAGTGGCAGGCAATCTTCCGCCTTTTATCCTCAATCTACTTTACAGAATCGGACCAAAACAATGTCTTGCAACAAAACGGGCGACATAAAGGAACCTACGCATCAGACATTATCGTCGCCAACTATCGAAGACTTTCGCCGTTGTCATTAAGCAAAACGACGGTAGTTGTTATGCAGACCAGTCAGTGATCTGACACCGTCTGCTTTTCATACTCAATTTTTTGCCAATCGTTTGCACATGAAAAATTTGTAACCGACTTTTGTCGAATCCTGAAGCCATCAGAATAGCCTTTGGAGAACGATGATCCCATTTTCCTCATTCGAAACACCGAGGCCTACTACTGCCTACTGCAAACTATTACTGACTATTATCAACTGCTAGAAACATTTCGTTGAGGTAGAACTGTATGCGAAGAGGAACATCAATTTTGTAGCAGCAGTGAACATCGCCTAATATGTAAATGCAAAGGATCACAAATCAGGGTTACTCCGATGCTGTTCAAGCTCTGCTAGCCTCAAATAACGATGATAAAATGACGATAACATTGCTACAACAAAATTCCGCTATAAACTGTACTTCAATTTCTTCTCGATTCCATATCCGGTCACTAGATCAACTCATTTTTTTCGATCCCAAACTGAAGCCCTTATATTGTTACCACCGCCCAAACCATAACGACGACAGCATTACTTGAGCAGTACCCAAAACATTACTTGAAATACATTTTTTTAAATGAATCTGCAAAATTTTTCTTATAATCAAATAAATCCATGACATTCTGGATTTACTAGCAAAGTTATATGTTCGATACGGCATCCTACCATCATATCGACCAACTATGGGATTAAAACCAACTAGAGTAATACACGTAAGTCACTGATTCGGGTACTGCACTGAACCGAAAAGGTGAACCTTCCCTTCTAAAGGCCTAGAGGTGTTATTTCACGAGGCCAACACTTTGTTACGTTTAAGCACGTTTGGTACGTGAGCAAACAACTGCATCAGAATTTGGCTCGAACAACGCACTGGTGTCATAAACGAAAATACTTTTCATTATAAGCTAACTTTAGTTTTAACATACACTACTCTATTATATTTCCAATAATCAAATATTAAATGTTATTCTAGCCGGCGGTGTCGAAATCTAATCTTTTGTTAGTAGTTTCATAAGATTATGGTTATATATAAACAGGCGGATGAAAACATATTAGATTACGCCCGAAAAAGCTGTTGTTCCGCCCAACAAAACGAATGCAAAAATGCAGTATATGTGCTATTAGAGAATCGACCAAAGGCTTGCTCAAAAATTGCTTTAGGCGTCTAGAAACAATGAGACTTAGCGAATATCTGTTAACCAATAAGATGGCTTGATGACTTACCTGACTATATGACGGGTTACGCCATAACGGAAATACACAATACCTAGGTGAGCACAATAATGCAAAGTGTATGTATAAATAACAAGAGAACAAGAACGAGTGAAGAATAGCTTTAACGTGAGTCTGTGATGTCATCTCAAAATTGAAGAATTTAAATGGCCATCACTTGGACATGCTGTACGAAAAATAATTGCAGGTCCACAGAAATATCGGACGGTGTCTCAAGAGTAAGCAGACATGCTGTAGGAAGACCTCTAGATCGGTTGTATAACGAGTTCAACAAATAGCTGAAGCAGGTGGATAAGACTTTCACGGTAGAGAACTGAGCAAAAATTCATGGAGAGGCCATTATCAGCAACGGATCGAAAAAGACTGGCGATGGTGACGGTGGAGGTGACGAGAGGGCGAAGACGATGGTGCTATTCCCGTGTCATACCATGGGGCGAGAAGGATGTGAGTTACTACAAAGCGGTTGACTAACGTTAACTGCCATTAAGTAGAACCAGAGTTCGTGCATCACAACAGCAAATAAAAACGTTCTTATCATTTCTGCGGATGCAACGCCTCGCAAACTGCTGTTTTACTTTCGTGCAGGCTTGCACTGCAGCCGCCGTTTAATGGTAACAGCGAGTATAAATTATCGGCACCGTAGAAAAAGTGAAAATGGTCCAGTATCGGCGACTGAACTCAAGGTGCAGCCGGACGCATTCAAAAACTGTACCGTCGTCCGGTTCAACGATTCACTCTAAAGCTGTGGACGAATGTAACAACCGGCCTGAATGTAACAATAACCTGAATATCTTCGGGTAACGTAAAGCAAAAACCAGCCAATTAAATGACTCGGTACAAAAACAAGCTTGACGGCTGCCGAAAACCAGAAGCAAAGTCAAATTACCGACTTCTGTGCTGAGAAACGGCATCTTTTGTCAGGCTTGAAAAACTTTAAAATCTTGATTCCTTAACCGATGCTATGAACATGCGTCGTGGATACGAAAGCAAGCGATGGACGCATCATCTGATTCTGTGATTATCAGCAAGAATAACAGGAAAGACCCTGATTGCACAATATCCCAAGCTTTCGAC